GGTTGTGAGAGTGGTGAGGATGATTATTAGGAGAAGAAATTGGGATTTGTTGGGATTTATAGGCCAAAAATCGGCCTTATGAAGATGGGGGTTAGGGTTTTCGGGTTTCTCTTGGGGATGAATTTGGGTGATTTTTGTGGGTGGAAATTGGAAGAGGGGGTGAAGGAGATGAAGAAAATGATTTTATTTGGTGAATTTGGGCGAAAATTGAGGGAGAAACGAAGCTTTTGGTGTTCAACTATGGAGGGGAAGGGTGTTTTGCTCGAAGGAAGAAGAAGAATTGGGGAAGAAAGGTGGTCTGCCCGACCCCTTATGCGATTTTTACCCGTTCGCCCGGTCGGGTGGGGTACTTCACCCGGTCGGGCTTAACTCCCTGCTATCCAGAATGATTTTCACGAAAAAGCCCGGCCGGGTGGGTTGGTTGACCCGGTCGGGCTTAACTTTTGCTTATCCAGTGAGATGTTTTCCGAAATGGCCCGGCCGGGTGAAACAAGTGGCCCGGTCGGGTCTAACTTCTCCTTATCCAGTAGGTTTATTTAGAAAACACCCGGCCGGGTATATGAAGGTGACCCGGTCGGGTGTGTTGATTTTACTCTCTTCCGTAACTCCCTTGCCCGGGTGAGTGGCCGGGTGCTGTGTTTTATGAAGGTGCCCGACCGGGTATGATTTTGTACCTGGCCGGGTTCAGAACCAATTTTTTTTTTTTTTTTTTTTTTTTTTTGAAAAGGTTTTTTCTCACACACACAAAAATGAAACTGATCAAAATACAAACTTGGGTTGCCTCCCAAGAAGCGCTTGATTTAATGTCGCGGCACGACATTATTTATTTTATTTTTCTGTTTTAAGTGGGATCGTGAGCATCCCTCGTTTCATTTTTCTTCCTCAGCCTTTTCCAGTAAGGCCGAATTTTCTTCCTAGTTACTACCTCAATAGTAGGTGGTTTTCCTTTCAAAATGGATTTTTTGGGTTCTTCCTCAACAAAAATATTCGGTGTTGGTGGTTGAAAAACATTTAAAGAATAAAGAGATTGATTTTTTATTTGTTTTTTAGTAGAATCAAATATGTTGAATTCTACTTTTTGGTTATCAAATTCTATTGTTAATGAACCACGAGACACATCAATTTTTGTTTTGGCGGTTTTCAGAAAAGGCCTTCCCAAAAGAATGGGTGTTGTTTGGTCATCATTCCCCATTTCAAGAACATAAAAATCAGCAGGGAAAATCAAATTTTCTACTTCTACTAGCACATCTTCTACTACACCCTTCGGGTAAGTATTAGACCGATCCGCTAGTTGAATCACTACACCAGTTTGATGTAGTGGGCCGAGTTGTAAGGATTTATACACGGAATAAGGAATGACATTTATTGACGCTCCTAAATCCAACAAGGCCTTAGAAAATGTGGTGTCCCCTATTTTGCAAGGAATAGTGAACATGCCTGGATCGCTACATTTCGTAGGAAGTTTCTTTTGAAAAATGGCCGAGACACGTTCACTAACCTCAACTCTTTGTTTCCCCTTTAATTTGTTTTCCCTTTTTATTGTGCATAATTCTTTTAAAAATTTTGCATAACGGGGAACACTTTTGATTAATTTAAAGAGTGGGATATTTACCTCAGAATCGGCGAAGGTCTCGTAGATGTCCCGATCATTCTTCAGCTTTCTTGTGTCCTTCAATGCCTCAGGAAATGGAGGAAGTGGTTCATATGATGAGAGTGGAGGGAATTTAGTTTTCGTTGGTTCCTCCTCTTTCGGTTGAAAGTCTTCTCCAAGATCAACCTCTTGCTTCTCTTCCTCAACTTCCTGTGTTTGCAATTCTTTACCGCTCCTCAACATGATTGCATTAACATGTTGTCTTGGGTTTTGCTCAGTTTGGGAAGGGAGCCTACCCGAATCTTTTGCCTCGAGTCTACTTACGGCACTCGAAATTTGGCTGACTTGAGTTTCCAAATTTTTAATGCTCGACTTGGTTTCATGTTGGAATTGCATCATGGTTTGTTGGAACTGTCCCATGTTTTGCTGCATTTCTCCCATATTAACGGCAAGTGCTCGAATCATGTCTTCGGTGGACATACTCGAGTTCGATGTTTGGCCTTGTTGTTTATATTGTTGAGGAGGAGGGTTTGTTTGTTGAGGCTGTTGAGAGTTTCCGTACCTTAAATTTGGATGATCCCTCCATCCCGGGTTGTACGTATTTCCTTGAGGATCCTACCTCCTTTGACCTTGGAACCCTAAAGCATTGACTTGCTCAGAGTTCTCTTCTTGAAGCGTTGGGCAGGAATCAGTGGGATGCCCCTGTGTTGAACATATGCCGCAGACCTTGACTTCTTGGTGTTTTGGATTTAAAAGGAAATCTTTTACCAAAGAAGTCAAGCCGGCCACTTGACTTTCCAACGAGTTGTTGGATTCCGCTGCCATGACTCGTTTTGGTGATGACCTCCTGTTGTAGTGTCTAGAATTCTCGGCCAACTCCGAGATGAGATTTCTAGCTTGGGAAGGGGTTTTGTTGACAATCCCCCCTCCAGATGCTGCGTTTACCAAGCGTCTATCTTGCTCCGCAAGACCGTCATAGAAGTAGAGGATGAGGTCTTGCTCTGTGTACCCATGGTATGGACAACTAGCACAGAGCTTCTTGAAGCGTTCCCAGAATTCATAAAGTGATTCATCATCACCTTGTTCGATATTACTTATTTTCTTCTTTAGAGAGGAGGAAATGGAGGCGGGATAATACCTCTCCAAGAAGCATTTCTTCATAGCTGCCCATGTATCTATACTTCCCGAAGGAAGATAGAAAAGCCAATCCTTTGCGGTGTCTTTAAGAGAGAATGGAAAGGCCCTCAATTTGAATTGCTCCTCGGTGACTCCATTTGGGCACATGCTCGTGCAAACAATATGGAATTCCGAGAGATGTTTGTTCGGGTCTTCTCCTCTCAGGCCATGGAAGGATGGGAGCAGATGAATGAGCCCAGATTTTAGCTCAAATGTATTACCCTCATCAAGAGTAGGGAAGGTAATACACAATGGTTGTTGATTCAAGTTCGGAGCTGTGAGCTCCCTCAATGTTCTTGTCTCTAGAGCCATGTGGAATGACTCTTCGGATTCGCTAGAGCTAGAGCTAGTGTTTGAGGATTCCTCCGAAGAAGTATTCGGAAATAAATTCCTAAACCTCTCAAAGGCTTGTTCTGTTTCGGGGTTTGTTTGGTAGGTGATTTGGTTTATAGATCGGGTTCTAACCATATACTCAAACAAAGCTCAGAAATAGAAAATAAGAATTCTTTATATTTTTATTTAATTATTTTTTTGTTTTTGATTTTTCTTGAAATAAAATAAAAAGAAAAATAATTGCCTTTCCCCGGCAACGGCGCCAAATTTGACGTGCACTTTGTCGTGTGTGCACTCAAAATAAATTCAATACTACCACTAATACGTAGTATAGTGAAGTAGAGTTCGTATCCACAGGGAAAGGAATAATTCTCTTTTTATGAACTAGTAAATAAAAGGGGGGTTTGGTATTGTTGGAATTTAATTAATTAAATACTAAGATGAAGGACTTATATGAGATTTAATTCAAAGATAAAAAGGACTTGGCATTGCTACTTTCCACTTGTTGATATATTTTAGTCGATCATTGTTATATCTATAACTTATCCCCTCTCGAATACTCAATCGAGGAGTATATCCAATTCATCGAGGGTAGTTATTAACAACGACCGTTCATTAATAACACTTACTATTAGTCAAGTATAGAACACCGCCATATACCGACTTGATAGTAGCATTTAATCTCTTAATTCCTTGATGAAATCAATTGAGATTGATAACCTCAACACAACGGTTTCGGTTTAACCAACAAAATTAATCCCTCTTAAGTTTATTAACCACGACCGTGCATTAATAAACCGAAGTTACTTACTTGTGAAACCATCAACGATTAACCATCGGTTCGTTGAACGTTTCTAGTAGTAATTAATGTTGAGATGTTAACTAATTGTCATCTTAGCAACACTCCCCAACATTAACATAGAGATAGATTAAGGGAAGAATTAATATTCAAGGAAGAAGATTAAATATGAATAATCCTACTATAACTAATGTCAAGATGTTATCTAATTGTCATCTTAGTAACACTCCCCAACATTAATATATAGAGGAAGAAAATAAATACTACTATAACTAATGTCGAGATGTTAACTAATTGTCATCTTAGCAACACTCCCCAACATTAATATATAGATAGATTAAGAGAATAATTAATATTCAAGGGAAGAAGTTAAGAAAATAACTCACAACTTTAATAATCAACAAGCTTCAAGAGCAACACCAAGAAATGGAAGTTTAGCTCCTCATTTGGAGACTAAACATGCTATAAAAATATAAAAGAAATACTATTCTAAACTGAGCTTAAGAGTATGGAAGAAGGGATGATTATTTGTGAAGGAAAATGGGGCTATTTATAGGTGTTTTTCAACACTTTTGGCCGGGTACCCGACCGGGTCAAGTGCCCACCCGACCGGGTGGATGTCTAAATCAGATAATCTTCCACGTTCTTGTGTTTTAGCACGTTAAAATGTCCCGGGTCACATCTGACCCGACCGGGTGAATTGCTTGACCCGACCGGGTCTAGTTCTTTCTTGTGAAGTTCTGATTTCAAATCAGACCCGACCGGGTGATGATTTCTACCCGGTCGGGTGGATCTCCCTGGGCAGCATTCCTGTTGACTTTTCTCCTTTTTCCTTGCCAAAAAGCTCCAACACTATTTTACAACTATAAATGGAAGCTAAAAAAACATTTACAAACATGACAAAACAAATGCTTACAAACTAACTAAAAACAGTAAATAATCCACACAGAATAAATATAAAAACATACATTTATGCACTACAAACTAGTGCATATCAATAATGCAAAGACTTCTACCAATTGCACTAAAAGAGATGCTCCCTGAACACGTATGGTCATGCATTACTGAAATCAGTTTGTTGTTTCAATCGATATGTTCCAGCGTTTTGGATGCGGCATCCCTCCGGAGACTACAAGAGTCTGTTCCCATTCTGATGTGTAATCTGAAAAAAATAATGCCACCATCGTTTTTCGATACAATGGAACATCTCATAATACATCTTCCGTATGAGGCTTTGACTGCTGGGCCCGTCTTCTATCGGTGGATGTACAGATTTGAAAGGTTAGTCACAATTTCATTTAAAAAAAGAATATTTATTTCACAATAACTGTTAACATGTGTATTATTGCATTATTGCAGATTTCTAGGAGAGCTGAAAAAGAAAGTGACCAACAAGGCACACGTTGAGGCTTCAATTTGTCAAGCGTATCTTCAACAAGAAATCTCAACGTTCTCGTCTTTTTACTTCGAGCGTGACGTCATCACCAGAAGGAAGAGACCTGCCCGGAACGATGACATTGGCGAGGATTTATATGAAAATGTAGTTTCCATCTTCAATTACCCAGGCAGAGGTAAAGGTGCTGCGACACAACGATACATCCTGGGTGGGGAATTGCAAATTGCGCATACTTATATCCTCATGAATTGTCCAGAAATCTCACCATTTTATTAGTAAGTTAAATTTGTAGTTATAATTGTAATACTTATACATTAAATTTGTAGTTAATTTATAGTTTTTTAATTTTTGACTTCACAGTGAATTCCGAGCTTCTTTATCAGCCTTTCCTGAGAATGAAATTGATGCGTTGGTGGACTCTGATTTTGTAAATTGGTACAAGTATCAGGTATATATATACACACATATATATAATTATAATTGTAATACTTATACATTAAATTTGTAGTTAATTATTAAGTAAGTTTTTCAATATTTACCTAATGTTATTATCATGTTTATATTTACAGATCAATAGTCGTGGGATTGTCGACCCTTTGTTACTATCATTAGCGTGGGGCCCAAGTGCCAGTGCCAAAGTGTGGCGGCAATATGTGATAAACGGTTACACATATCACACAGCCGATTACGGACATGGTCGACCAACAACGAACAACGGGTTATGTGTCCCGACCATCAGTTATGATAACTCGGAAACCAATTTTTTTGGTGTTCTGCAGGAGATTCTGGAACTTGATATGCCTTCTGGAGCGCAAAAGATGACATGCGTTCTGTTCCGCTGCACATGGGTCGATCCCACACGTGGCGTGCGCAAAAATCCGAAGTATAATATGATTGACGTCAACCACTCTCGTGTGTACCCAAAAAATGAGCCTTTCATACTCGCCCAACAAGCAGCGCAGATTTATTATGCAGAATATCCTTCAACAAGGCGGAGCCTGAATCCTTGGGTGTGTGCATGTCCTGTCCGTCCGAACAAAATTAAATCACAAACTCAACACAAGGACGTTGATCTAGATGCTTTTCAGCAACAATTGTTCCAACCTCCGCCTATTGTTGAGACAATCAACTATAACGTCCAATTAAGTGATCCCAATGGCGGACGTGTTGAAGTCATGCCCGAAACGCACCTTCCGGACCTAACCATTCCATCTGAGCGCGAAATTGAGGAAATGTATGTAGCACAACAAAACGCTCAATATCAGGAAGAAGGTGAATGGATAGACGGTTCAGATACTGAAGAAGAAACTGTATATGTAGAAAATGACGATTCTGACAGCGAGTAATTGTGCTGTTGTAACTTCAATTTTGTGATATAATTTCTCCAAGCAGATGTGATAATTTCCTTCATCAATATTGTTTGTAAAATAATTACTCCTTAATCTGTTCTATACCACATAAATTCAAAGCAGTTTATTTAATACTCCACAGTCCACACTACAATTACCATGGTATTAATAATTATTCATATAATTACAATAGTAATAATAATAATAATAATCATAATAATAATAATTATATTAACATTATTTATAATATTATAATAGTAATATAAACACAATTAATTTTATTATAACGATATAATAATAATAATAATAATAATAATAATAATAATAATAATAATAATAATAATAATAATAATAATAATAATAATAATAATAATAATAATAATAATAATAATAATAATAATAATAATAATAATAATAATAATAATAATAATAATAATAATAATAATAATAATAATAATAATAATAATAATAATAATAATAATAATAATAATAATAATAATAATAATAATAATAATAATAATAATAATAATAATAATAATAATAATAATAATAATAATAATAATAATAATAATAATAATAATAATAATAATAATAATAATAATAATAATAATAATAATAATAATAATAATAATAATAATAATAATAATAATAATAATGCTTGGGTCCTGACCGTGACTATGACCGTGACTACAAAACGCTCAATATCAGGAAGAAGGTGAATGGATAGACGGTTCAGATACAAAAGAAGAAACTGTATATGTAGAAAATGACTATTCTGACAGCGAGTAATTGTGCTGTTGTAACTTCAATTTTGTGATATAATTTCTCCAAGCAGATGTGATAATTTCCTTCATCAATATTGTTTGTAAAATAATTACTCAATCTGTTCTATACCACATAAACAATAAGTAATAACTAACACAAAGACGAACAGAACAGCACCTTATTCATTTTTCGATTCAATAAGCTGTGTACATAGTTTCAGACGACACATTCTTGTACGCATCATATCTCAGTCAATTGGTTCTTTATTAGTCATTTTTAGCATAAAATGCTTGGGTCGCAGGAAAATGAACTTATAAATTTAATAGTCACAGTCATAGTCACGGTCCGGACCGTGACTAAACCCTTCGTAACTGCCGAAGTCAGTCCCAGAGCGGCGCTGACAATAATAGTCACGGTCAGACCCGTGACTATGACCGTGACTATTTTCAAATTTTGAAAATAGTCACGGTTATAGTCACGGCTTTGACCGTGACTATTCCGATTAAAGGCGACTCTGACCGTCGGCACTGACATCGTCAATTACGAAGGGTTTAGTCACGGTCCGGACCGTGACTATGACCGTGACTACACAATTATATAAAACAAACCCTTGGCGTTTTTTTAAAAACCTACGCACCCAAACTCCCAAACCCTAACTTCCTCTTCCTTCTCTCTACCCTCTCTTCCAGTTTAGACAGTGCCGCCTAGCTGTCCGCCGTCGCCGCCTAGCTGTCCGCCGTCGCCGCCTAGCTGCCGCCGTCAACGCCTAGCCGTCCGCCGTCGTCCTCCGGCTGCCTTCGTCCACCTTCTTCCGTCGGCCCTTCTTCAGTCAAGGTTATGTGTTTGTTCATCTTATTTTGTAATATTTGATTAAAATTCCAAAAATGCATGATTGTATACTTAAATGCATGATAAGATGCATGATTTTTAGTTTCATAGCATTTTGTAATCTTCAAAAGTTATATGTATGATTTATTATATGCATGATTTGTAGTTTTGCATGTTAATTTCATTTTATATGTTTCGTATGCATGATTAATATATGTTCAAATGTAGATTATTTTATGTTTAATATATGTTCATATGCATGATTAACATATTTTCGAACTAATGCGTGCTTATACAATTAGTATCATGTTTAACATATATGTTTAGTGTTTGATTTGCATGCCTCTCTATACATATGTATTAAACATTTAAATTTAATCCCGAAAAAAACTAGACAAAAACTGTTTTTATAATAGTATAAGCAAAAAAAATTATTTATAATAGTATAAGCAAAAAAAACTAGACAAAACACTGTTTTAGTTTATATGTTTCATATGCATGATATGATTTATATGTTTTGTATGCATGATAATTATGTTTAAATGATTTAAATTATTATATGTGTAATATATGTTCATATGCATGATTAATAATATTTAATATATATGATTAGTGTGTGATATGCATGCCTCTCAATGGTTAACCCGAAATATTTAAAAAAAAATTGCCCCCTCATGTTAAGCTTTCACAAACTTAACATGTTTGATTCTAATTTTACAAATTTTTATAAACAAATTTTATAAAAAGTATACAAATTATTTTATAAACAGTTTCGATAAACAGTTTTTATAAACAGTTTTTAAAATTTTACAAATTTTTATAAACAGTTTCTATAAACAGTTTTTATAAACAGTTTTTATAAATATAAAAAGTAAAAATTGGATACAAAATGGTAAATAAACAGTTTTTATAAAAACTGTTTAATAAATAAAACAGTTTTGTAAAAACTGTTTTTATAAAAACAATTTTGAATGAAAATTTAGTTTACTTAAAAACTGTTTTATATAAAAACAGATTTTGTAAAAACAGTTTTTATAAAAACTGCAGTTTTTTTAAAAACTGTTTTGAATGAAAATTTAGTTTACTTAAAAACTGTTATTGTAATTTAATTAAAAACTGTTTATATAAAAACTGTTTATATAAAAGCTGTGTTATATAATCTGTTTTTGTAATTTAACTAAAAAAGTATAAAACTGTTATTTAGACATTATAAAAAACTTTTTTTGTATAAACTTAAACTATACTGTTTTTCTAGAAAAACAGTTTGTATAAAAACTGTTTTTTATTTAAAAAGTGTATAAAAACTTTTTTTTTATAAACTGTTTTTGAAAAAAAAGTATACTGTTTCTAGGAAACAGTTTGTATAAAAACTGTTTTTTATTTAAAAAGTGTATTAAAACTCTTTTTTATAAACTGTTTTTGAAAAACTGTTTATAAAAATTGTATAAAATTCATGTATCTTAAACACAAAAAAAAAAAAGATGGCCTCTCATGTAAACTTTGCAAAAAGTTTAACATGTTACTTACAATTGTAAATGTGTATAAAACAGATAAAAAAAATGGCCTCTCATATAAACTGATATGACTGATAAAAAAAAGATGGCCTCTCATATAAATTGATATATCGAAAACATAAAAAAATGATCTCCTCTCATGTAAACTTTGTAAAAAGTTTAACATGTTACCTCCAAGTGCAATTTATTACCAAATTATTTAAGAACTTATTATGAAAACATATGGACCCCCTCATATTAAACTAAAAATAGTTTAATATGCTATACACATTTTCAATTAATAATACTTGTATAAATTTTTATAGTGAAAAATAATAAATATACCCCAAACTTTAAAAGGGTGTGAAGTAAGCACACCTCAAATTTACTAAGTTTGGGATATTTAAATTACATATGATAGTTTGTGGTGCTCTTGTCACATCCCTTCAAAGTTTGGGGTATTTTTATTATTTTTCCCTGTATAAATTTAATAACTGTGTATAAGTTTAATATGAGTGGTTAAATAATTTCTCATAAGCTCATTCTATAATTTATCAATGAGTTGACCCAGTCGATCGAAGAATCGATCAGTTGGAGCTTGTCAATGAGTTGACTTAGTCAATTCTTAGATAAGCTCCAATCTGTCGATTCTTCTGGCTACGGCTTTAGCCATCGATGGACTCTCCCAAGCGCATGTACTGACATTATGTCGCTACATGTGATGTAGCCCATCCATGGTTCAAGTCGTAGCCCGAAGAATCGTCAGGATGGAGTTTATCAATGAATCGACTGGGTCAACTCATTGATAAGCTCCAACCGGTTGATTTTTCGGTCGACGGTGTCAACTCCTTGATAATTATAGTATTTGTTTATTAGCAATTATTGGACCCTAATATTAAACTTATACCCATTTTAAAATGTTATATACATTGACAATTGATAATACTTACATAACAATTTGATGTTCTTATTATAAGCGTTCTAACAAAAAACAAAATAAATCAATATATTTTAGATGAGCAACGAACAATCGACCTCGGCTCCCCGCCCTAACTATGCGCCCATGTCCGAAGCGGAGCGCAACAACGATGGAGCTGTTTGGGTGACGCCTGCATAAGTTCTTTTGTAAGTAGTTATGAAAAAACCTTATTTTCAATAATTTTATATAATGTTAAACAATCTAACCAAATCTTATATTAATAAATACTATTAATTTTTTTAAGTGACGAACAAGTATTCAAAGGCATCAAAAGCATTATCGGAGGACACTTT